GTTGAGAACGCCATCTATAGTGATAAATTGGTGAACCAACCTCTGGGAACAAAATGCCCCACTATAGAATCTAGCTTTCAACCCTTGTAGTGTATAGCATAGTTTCTCTATAGAATAAAGGGTGTCAATGTAACAGAATCGTAGGCTCAAAATCTGAATTATCTAATTGAAACAGCCAGGGTTGGTTTTCATTCTATAGAGAAGTGGGGGAAACAGCCAGGGTCGGTCCTCATTCTATAGACAAGTGGGTGTCACATCAAGGCTGATATATCATTTTAGAGGAAAATTAGGCAGCAATGGCAAGAGAGGTTGGTATTCTATTTTATAGAAGCATGATTGAACATTGCAAGGTTAGGGTTTCATTTTATAACAAGATTAGGCAGCAATGGCAAGAGAGGTTGGCCACCTCTGCATCTCCAAGTGGCAGTGGTTTCTAGAATGTTCCCCAGGGGCTTTCCCCACCAGAAAGGTGCTTGACCAGCTCTGGCTCCAAAAAAGGTTGGCTTTTCATTTTATAGTGGCCTGGGCGCTGTGGGCTTGGCACAGGTGGCCACCACAAGAAGCCAGGCAGGGGTCCCCGAGTGGTGTTCACCAGGGTCTTTCCCCACCTGAAAGGTACTTGTCCACCTCTGCATCTCCAAGTGGCAGTGGTTTCTAGAATGTTCCCCAGGGGCTTTCCCCACCAGAAAGCTGCTTGACCAGCTTGGCTCGAACAAATGTTGATTTTTCATTTTATAGTGGCCTGGGTGCTGTGGGCCTGGCACAGGTGGCCACTACCAGAAGCCAGGCAGGGGTCTCCAAGTGGTGTTCACCAGGGTCTTTCCCCACCTGAAAGGTACTTGGCCACCTCTGCATCTCCAAGTTCTCTCAACCTTCTACTGCTCCAGGTTCTCTCTATAGAATCAAACCCTCTGTCCTCTATAAAATGCCCTCAATTTTCATATATTCTCTATAAAATGAGGGTGGTCAACCTAGTGATCCATCAATATATGATTCTCTCACCTCAGATATCCTCAGAATGGATCTTTTTCAGGTAGGTTGACTTTTGATTCTATAGAAAATATCTATAAAATGCTAGGTCATTTTGGAGCTCGACCTCCCCCATTCTATAGGGGTTATTCCCTGGGGTATTTTACAGGGCTGTCCGCACACACAAGTAGCTCGCATACTGCAAGCTGTAAACCTAACAGTCGTTGCATTGCGCACAGCCGCACAGCTTCGCATCAATAAGAGTACAACAAAAACAGGCATGATACGGCACAGTTCCCTCCCTGATCTTCTGCAGTGAAGAATGGCGTGCTAGTTGCGTGGGGCTTTGGGCATTGCGCCCATCCATGCTTACCGACGTCCTCGAAAACCACACGACACAGCCTGGCGGCTCGGAATTGCGCAAAAGCAGCGCTAGGCACCAACAATGATTCAACCAGCAGATTCTGAAGCGAGGCCGCGTGTCAGGTGAGTTACGGAATCTATCTAAGCAAAAACAGCAGAGCAAAGAGCATCTAGCACCGGTATAATTATAACATGCCGCTGGGGATTGCAAACCCTATACAACCATGCCACCCAGAAGTTGTCGAGGCCCGGTGTATGTTTTCAGGGTCCAAGTAGGAAGAGGTCAGGTGGCAATGATGGTTTGCGGCCCACCTGTCACACTGGATGTCTTCACTTGCGTTGTCTTCTTGAGTGGGAAGCCTCCAATCCAAGAACATCAAGCAGGCACCCTGTGATTGGGCGGCTTGGAACTCTACGCTAAACTTCGTGGCCCGAGGGCGATGTTCAGATAAGGGTCGGTGTTCAGTTCGGAAACTAAAACGTTGGGTTCTGAGAGTCGGGTTCGGAAAGTGGAAATGTGGGGTTCGGAAACTGGAAGCGGCATCATCTCCAAAACACATCCCAGCGAACTTTGTTATCCCCCCCATGACCACCACTCCAACTTGAGAGAGGAGGGGGCGAACGAAAGGTAGCAGGCAATCACAAGTAACCCTGGTAGAAGTTCATGACGGCGGCAGATGGATGTGACATGGCGAGGAGGGGAATGATCCAGGGGGGCCCCCCCCCCGTCGAACAGAATCCCTTCGTACAGGACCAAAATCAATGCAAATCACCAAATCCTGATTGTAATACATTTTTGCTAAAGCAAGGAGAACTCAGGTAGCTCAAGCTACCTTTCGTGACCTTCCCCCAAACCAAAAACCCGGCACAATTAGCTCTTGAAGCCGGCAGGTGAATTTCCGGCAAAAACGTTTGCGAAGCCGGCAAAATCTCTGAGCCCGCCCTCAATAGTTAACTGAACCCATAGTTTCCTAAACTCCGCAACAATAGTTTCCAAGCCCGACAAAGCAGTTGCTGAACCGTAGTTTCTTCCTTCGTTTCTAGGGTCGCAAACTTGCCTAGGTAATATGCATGAAACATGGTAAACTACTGCGTTCTATGTATTTCATATATGTCATTAGAGTCTGAGGCTCAAGCACACAGTGAAGCCCACATTTTTCAACATTAGCGTCTGCCGCTCAGCTCAAAAATGCACAAATGCATCAGAAAAATCAAGTCTTGCATTTTCTTGTCTGCCCCGCATTGGAAAAATGCAGCCGTCATCCATAAACAAGAACAAATATCCGTAAAAGCCATCACCTTTGTGTGCCTTGCTGCGCGACACTCGTCCCTTTTCGGCGTCACGCGCCTCTGATTGTTCACTCCTTGTTGGAGCGTCTGTGGCCACGACTCCTGGGCTGAACATCTTCTTGGACAGGCTCGGGCAGCATCTCCATCGAATAAGTAGCGCGCCACAGTGGGCCGCTCCTGTGGCACCAGCAGTGTGGCCAGTAAATCTACGCATCCCGCGTCGGTATACGGATTTTGCCGAGCGGACTTTTGTTGGCGCGCGTGGCTGTGGCAGCAGAATTGTGAAGTTTTGCAGGCTGCACCTTCCAACTGTTCCTCCACGAGGTGGCAAGGACGCAGGTTATTCGTTTAGATTCGCAAGCGCACATGTGTGTGTGCGGAAAGCACCCAGCGCTTGCCAATCAGCCTAGTTTGACTGTACCAGCCAGAATGGGAACGCGTTTCGCCCCCGGTTGTCGGGAAGATTAGGAGGGGCTGGATCATGCTGTCTGCTGAGTGGATCGGCCGTCTTGTTTAGTTTTGTGTTGATACGTTGAAGCGAAGTAGGTTCGTAATGTCCTTGCGCCTGGTCCAGCGCAATCTCTCTGGCAACCATGGACGGCTCCTTTGACCTGGCCTTCCCCTTGGTGATGAGGCACAAGGCACCAACGTTGTCGGCTCTCCCACATATGGATGATGTGAGAGGATGCTGAGTCAATGTTGAGCCAACCAAGCTCTCGCCGAGGAGGCATAGTGACATAGTGATTCCCACTATAGGTCTACTATAGGTCAATTGCTTGCGTTGCCCAGGAACAGCACCGGTTCGCAGCACGAACTCTGCTGGAATTGGACATGTGAAAGAATGTGGGTCTCCATTCACTATTTTTGACGGCACCTAAACCCTAAGTGGAGGCATCCGTAAGAATGGTCAGTCCTGCAGTTTTACGGAATGGATGAACTGTTCGCGCCAATCGGCCACTTTGTCCTGGGGGATCGTCGCCTGAACTGTTTTCTTCTGGCGGTCCGCCCCAAAACGGGCTTGCCACAGGTGAAAGCCGTGAAGGTGGTCCAATGTGCTCCGGCGGCTGAAGACCAGGTCCTGAAGGCAGCATTGGCAGTGATCGATGCTGCGCTGCTGTGAGATGCTGTGAGCACGCTCAGTGAAGATCTCAGTTGCAATCGACATCGCCGCTGCGTGCCTCATGATCTTCGGAGCCTCTGCGTTGAGAAAGATCAAAGCAAGATGGGAGAAGGAAGATGAACTCTCCCCGAAAGGCGTGTCTCCAGCAGACACGAAGGGAATCCTCTGCGAGGGCCCACAACGAACCTGCAGCGCAAGAGGAAAACAAAAGATCGGGAAGGTTATCCGACACCTTGGAGGTGAACTCCCAGCTGGAGCCGCCAACGAGAGAGCAGCGTGCCAAGTGCAAAATCAAAGGCTGATGGAAGGGTTACATGTTATTCGAATTGCACAGACCTGACCTGACCTGACGAGGAGAACCTGGGAGCACTCGTGTTTTGACGTGGTGGAAGACCTGCATTTACGGCAGACCCTTTTTCGTGCCTGAGAAAAGGCGTACTTCACTGAACTCACCTTTAAGTCCCTTATTATATAAACCGTTACAATGTTTTACAAAAGTCTATTGCACAAAGGAGGTGGCCCAGCACGCTAGAAACCTAGAGTAATATAATAACTTATTTTAGTAACGGAACGCGTGACCGTACCTTTTTGCTTGAAACGTCATATTTTCCATGTTGAAGTATATAAAATAAATTATATACCCTCTCAAATGTCGTCTGCATCTTTGCTCTTGTATGATTCTATTACTATGAAATACTATGAATAGACCCCGTAATCATGTCTATGCTGTTCATTTGTTCTTGCTTTTACTTTGAAGTCATTGTTTACAGTAAATGTATAACAGTAAGTTTCCTTTTAAACTCAACTGAAGTGTTGATTCCTATCGAATTCCCTTGAAAACTCCCTTTGACTTCTACTTATGTCCCTTTGGTTTCCTTTTGATTGCACTTGGTTTCTTGATAGGTGTGCATTTTACTGTGTGCTTGAGCCTATGACATACATAAAACACAGTCAAATACAGCGTCTTTAGGCATCTGACAAGCAGATTTTACATCCCTGCCAACACCCGCCCTGCTTCTGAAACTCAGGCCAGTTTCTGAAGTTGAAATGAACTTCATATGAGTCTGCAATCAAGAAGAAACACGGTACAAAAGGATACACACCATAAAACATGCCATACCATACACCATGCATATAACAAACACCAACTATATAAAAGCAATGCATTGCCACATTGCATGTTTTGCATGCAAGAGCACACGTATTACATGCGTTACATTCGTTACATGCACACACCCATGTCACACCACCTGCACGCCTTGCCCTTCTTTCCCTTTGCTGAAGATGGCGCCTGTCCTAAATTGTTGTGTGGACCTCTTGTTCACGTTTAAAGCCCAACGCACCATCTGAGAAATGACTTGTCTAAGTGGGTCGCGTGTATCTTCGTCCGGATCCTCTCCAGCCTAGGGAAGGGCCACGGAAATGAGACAGTGCGACACAGCCTCCCAGCAGCCAGCCTCAATGCGCCTCTTCCGCTCCCAAGCTGCCTGGCTCGGGACTCAAAAGGTCTAAGCCTGTCGCAAAATACCCCTTGACTTCCCCAATCTATTCAGCCAGCTGTCCATGATTCAGACACGGCAAGAAAAAACAGGTGGGAGCTCTGGCTCATGATATCAAGCTCTTGAAATAGCTGATGACGTGGATAAAGAAACGCAATCAATCAGGCCAGGACCGAACATGCCGAACCAAAAGTGAGATCCATGGAGGTGGAGAAAGAAAACAACGACAGCAAACCAAAGGATTGACTGGCCTGGCACTGTCCAACCAGGTTCGTACACCATGGGAAGCTTGCACAAGCGGACACTAGTAGAGAAAACTTGCAAAACAAACCACATGAATTGATGGGCAGGCCCACATGTACATACAAACAGTGTCTTTCGTGATTTTGAATTTGCCAGTGTGCAAGTGGCAAAGACGGACGCATTGTTGCCGTCAGGGCTAAACATAATGACATGAACTGAGTTGTGGGTTGAACGAACAAACTGACATGAGATGAGGACAAAAGATGTGAGGTGTGATGAGATGAGCCAAGAACATGCAACATATGAATAGAACAAAAGAATGCGGGAAAATAAGTAAAACCAAGATCCCCGCAAATTAAGAGGGGGGGACGTCCAAAAATGTAACTTACATTTTCCTATATTTTCGGACCTCAAAAATGTAAGCTTACATTTTTTGGGGGGGACCTCAAAAATGTAAGCTTACATTTTTCCTTTGTCATAGGAAAAGAAGAAGATCTGCCTTCAAGTCTGTTTGTTGAGTCAATTGCTCACGTTAGTTCCGGCTATTCTTCTGCAGTGGAGCATGCTGAGGACAGCTAGTTAGGAGAATGCGAAAATGAACACGCCCACACACAAACACAAACGAATCAAGAATCCGTTTATATAAATGTAAAAAACCTTGCCCGCCTACCAGTAGTATATTTAAAGGCATCAGCCGAGCCACTAGGCACACTTAATCACAGGGTTTGCAGTTAGTCATAATCCACGGTGAAATGGATGCAGAGCTGTTTTACTTCGAAATGCAGTTTCCGTGGCAGGTGCGGCACTTTGGACATGGCGGTGATCGTCGAGGAGCTCAGATTTCGTGACAGGTGCGGTGAATCGTGACATGTGGTTTGTTGCTGTTTGCAGATTTCGTGGCAGGCGCAGCACTTGGTGAACCTTGCAGCTCAGATTTCGTGCGCAGCACTTGGTGAAGATTTCGTAGCAGGCGCAGCACTTTGTGAACCTCGAAGTGCAGATTTTGTGGCAGGCACGGAACTTGGTGAACCTCGAAATGCAGATTTCGTGGCAGGTACAGCACTTGGTGAACCTCGAAGTGCAGATTTCGTAGCAGGCGCAGCACTTTGCGAACCTCGACGCGCAGAGTTCGCGACAGGCACAGCACTTGGCGAACCTCGATGCGCAGAGCTCACGGCAGGTACAGCACTTTGAGAACCTCGACGCGCAGAGTTCGTGACAGGCACAGCACTTTGCGAACCTCGAAGAGCAGAGATTTCGTGGCAGGCACAGCACTTTGTGAACCTCGACGCGCAGAGTTCGTGACAGGCACAGCACTTTGTGAACCTCGACGCGCAGAGTTCGTG